CAGTGAGCGGGAACCGGTCTGTATGTGGGATCCGAACCCTCGGCGGGAGCGCTGCCGCGCTTCCCAAGCGGTGCACTAGCGCAGTGCGCCACCGGGCCGGCCCTCAACTGTACATTTTTACGGGGTACATTTTATTGTTTCAATACATGTATATGTTGTATAAGGATCCAATCAGAATAGTTAGCATATCTATCACCTAAACATTTATCATTTCTTTGTGTTTACAGCATTCAAAGTCCTGTTTTTTGGCTATCTTGATATATATAAAGATGTTAAGTCTTTTGAAATTTGCATTTGGGCCTTGGTTTTTCCCTTTGCCTTTGATGATTTAGCAAGATCTAAGAAATAGTGTCTTGTAAATGTTTTGATGGACTTTATGCTAAACAAATTGGCTTTACTCTTGCCAAGTAAAATATTTATCGATTGCTTTAATTTTTCATGACCCTTTGGATACCCAGTTTTAAAAAAATGGCTGTCTTTCTGTCAGTGGGATAGTAACCCAAAGGGGAAGACAACCAGAGGGCCAAAGCGTTTAGCATGGGCTGTGAACAAGGTTGGAACAATGGTTTAGAAAAGATGTAACACAGACTTAGGGGATTTGGAGCTGAGTGGAATCATAGAGGTCATCTAATCCAACATTCTCATTTACCATAATGTATACATGTATCAAAGCATTACATTGTACCCGATAAATATATGCAATTATTACTTGTCAGTAAAAAACATAAAAATGAAAATGAGACTCAGAGAAGTAAAATAATTTGCTCAAGGGCACCTCTAGTAAATGATTTCCATTAAACTTGGCTGGCTTCCTTCACTGGTATAAAAGAAAGAGTTCTTGACCAGAACAGCATGGTTAGTTGTCCTCAGCTTGCTGAATTATGGACTGAGATTGATAGCTATAGCAGTTTGTAGCATGCCTACAAAGGGATTTCAGCTATAGTTGATTACTTGCCACCACCAGGCTCTTATGCAGAACTTCTCCATTTCTTGATATAGTGTATGTTATGAACCCATTTTAAGTTCCTGAGACAAGGAGAAACATGAAGAAAGTAATTTTGGAGAGACTATTTTAGTGTTAGCACGTGAATGGGATTACTTTAAAGTACTCTGTCCAACTATAAGGCTATTTTGGTAATCTGATTGGGAGGTGGTGGCTTGGAATAGAATGGCAGCAGTGCTAAAGGAAAGGAAAAGATGGACTCAGAATGTTTTAAATTGTGAATGATTCCTGTACTGGCCAGCTGCCAAAATAGATGTAGATAGATAGATAGATAGATAGATAAGATAGATAAATAGATAGAATGAATGATTAGGAGACTTGGTAACTGAATTTTGAATCAATAATTGTGAACTTATTATGTGCCCTCTATGTCAGGTCCCCTGTTAAGTTTGAGGTGATTAACAGACTTAAAGTCAGCTGCTGGCTACTCTGGGCTGGGGCTCCAGTGAGAAGTGAGGACTGGAGAGTTACAGCACACATGCAAGATTGGATGTTACCAGAGAAGTGAGAATAGCAGAGGACAGAGAATTGAACTTTTATAATTTGTTATTCTGGGTGGAGCAAGAGAGGACAATAAAAGAAAAAAGAACTCAGGGAGAAAACTAGGAAATTACAAGATCACAAACTTCAGGAAGGGTGTTAATCAGCGATACCAAGTAGAGCCTAAAAGTTAGCAATAATGAGGACTTAACTCTTTGCCTATACTGAATTTGGCACTTTATTTTTAACAGGGCAAGGGGCATCATTAATGAGGTTAGCTTAAAAGTTACAATTGGTATCATGAACATTTTTACAAATCTTGTAATTTCACTTTCCATTTAAATTTTTCTTTAATTTCAGACTGTGATAGATGCCAACATTTTTCCAGCCCTCATTAGTATATTACAAACTGCTGAGTTTCGGACAAGGAAAGAAGCAGCTTGGGCCATCACAAATGCAACTTCTGGAGGATCAGCTGAACAGATCAAGTAAGTACTAGCTAGGTAGAATCTTGTAAATTAAAGGAAAAATTGTTATTGTGTCTACTATTGTACCTTCTCCCTCTCCACTGCCATATTACTTAGAGTAAAAGATTAGCTACCTTTGAGTAATAAGGTGAGTGAGAGATGAACTTATTAAATATGAATGCTTTATTTCAGCCCTTTGGAAGAGTGTTCTTTAGTGTCATAATGAGACTCAAATGTCTGTTTAATTCCTTACAGTTCTCCTATTTCTTTCTGCTGAAAATAAAGCCGGGATGTGAGAAGTAAGGCATAATTGAGGTTTGAGGCAATAGAAATACTTACAGGGTAGCTTCAGTCTACTCCGGAGCTGCTTGTTCAGAAATAGTCTAGAAAGTTACTTGTAGAACTTAGAGCCCAACTTTAATAGCCAACTCTTGCTATTACTAGTGTAAATGTCTTAATAAGTAGAATTAGATCACACTTGAAAGAGAGGTATGTCTAAGCATAAAGTACCAAATTCATTATAAGCAAGTGTCTTCTAAAGTACTATGCTGTGGTATTCAGTGAAGAGAGAGATCTGTAGTAGCTTGAGACTTAAAGTGGTTTCCTTTAAGCAGTTTATAATCTTAATGGGTAGAGAAGGCATAAATGTGTATGGGAATCGTTTCCTCAAAGGAGCATCATGTAATTAAATGCTAAATTCTGTATATCCAGCATTTCATATAGAAAAAAGATTAAAGATGAAAAGACAAATGGAACCTAGATTCTCAGCCTGCCTTAACTTTTTTTATGGGGAATTCAGATGGCAGGGAAGATGGTTTCAAATGAGTGTTAAAGCATTAACCCCTTCCTCATATGTATTAGACTAACATAGCTACTTCTTATATTGTCACTTTGTGGCTTAAATGTAAGCACTGAGCAAATGCTAATTTTAAGGGCTCTGTTTGGAATTAAAAACTAAAAATAGTCCTAACAAATTACAGAAGTTGATCAGGTAGAAAAGATAATAAATTGCAAACATATTAACATATGGAATAGCTATTTTGGTAGAGTTCATCATGGACAGGTTATTCAAGGAAGACTTCAGGTGGTCTTCAGAAGCACATGTCTTTTAGGTCCTTTTCGTCCTCCAAGATTTTGGTTTTGGGGCACTATGATTTTAAATATGCCATCACTAGATGGCAACAGTATGAAATAAAATAGAATAGTTATTTGAATAAACTTTCTGTTCAAATTCAGATTTGTAATTATTAATTGTCTCTGTATTTTATACCAAATGTGTTTTCTTAATTGAAATAATTAAACTGTAGACATACATATCTTTGAAAATTTCTAAAATACTATGCTATTTTCAGGAGTATTTTGCTCTGTTAGAGAAGAGTAGAATTGCTACTGTCCCTTGTTAAAATTGAGCAAAGCCATAATAATGAAGCTAATTATCAATCTCCTATCAGTTTCTTCTTAACCAGATTATCTTGAAAGATTATCACAAAAATATTACAGTCCAAATTACAGAAAATATACTGACTTTTATCACTGATTAAAGATGCCTGTCTGGATTCTGCTCATTCTTGTTAAGGAGACAAGATATGGATATAAGAACCTATTAGAATAATTTAGGAAATATCTACAATTCTAGGATGATTATAATCAAATGTTAATACATACTTTATTAAGAACGAGGGATAAAGAATATTGATTAGGATTAGAGAAAGATTTGTGAAAGAGATGAAACTTACCATTGGGAAGAGATTTGTCAATTTTGGAGGAGGGAGAACAGTATGAGGAAAAGTTTGAGAGAATGTGCACAGTAAATGTTGTTGGAGGCAAATCAATGTTGCTGTAGTTTATTCTTTGGCAAGGATGCAGAATCAAGTAATTGACTGATGGACTTTGAATACTGGGATGAAGGTTTTAGTCTTGGGTATTGGGAAGATTTGGAGTGTCTAACCTCCAGATTAACATGAAGATAGTGTTTTGAGGAGAGGGAAGAGAACAATTAAGATGCCATTGCAGTAGTTTAGTGAAGAGTCATAGCCAGGGTTAAGATAATAGCTGTAGTAGAAGGGCATGAATGGTTTGAATATGGGAAAGAAGGGTCTGTAGGACTTAGTGGCAGAGCATAGGAAACAAAGGGAGGAGTCAAAGATGACTGAGGAAAATACTAGTGCTGTTGATAAAAATTAGGAGCCAGAGGAAGCAAATCCTATTTGAGGGTTATGGTTTTAGACAGTGAGTTTGTTGTTTGTCTAAAAAAGCTGATGTTATCATTCAGTCTCTCAAAACTCACTTTTCTCCATTCTAGAGGATCTGGATTTCTTCCCCATAAATTTCTCTATAAAAGGGACTCCTAAATGTAAAATTACCAGTCAAATGAGCTCTCTCAGGTTTGAGCCATTAGTGTAATTTTAGAAGATTAACTCACTTTTCCAGATATGTACTCTTGTGGACTAAATTTCTTTACCCAGGAAAAAACCTTGATGGCAGTCTGTTCTGCCACAAAAGTCGGTTCACCTTGATGACCATCATCATTTTATTCAGGTGTTCGAAATACATCACCCATAGGAACCATTCTCAGCCTTTAACCACGAAATTGTGCTTATTTTCTATGCTGATTTCCCATCATCTTTTCAAGTCTTCAAACTTAACCCTGAAGAAATATTCCTTCATGTAATGCTTATCTCAAAGTAATGTAGTTTCTCAACTCTTATACAACCTGGGTTCTCTAGTCACCTGTTTTGCTCTTAGGTGCACTTGCTGTCTTTGGAGAAACTTTCATCTGTAGTATAAAATACAAGTTGAACATCGCTCATCTGAAAATCCCAAATCCAAAATGCTCCAAAATCTGGAACTTTTTGAGCACTGACGTGATGCTCAAAGGTCATGCTCAAAAGAAATGCCCGTTGGAACATTTTGGATTTGGGATTTTCAGATTCTGGATGTTCAACTGGTATGTACACGAAGATATTCCAAAATTCAAAAAAATCCAAAATCTGAAACATTTTTGGTCCCAAGCATTTCAGATAAGGGATACTCACCCTGTACCATGATAATGATCTTGTCCCCAAAGATGAGTGGTTGCATCAGAAATATCACTTTAATTCCTTGTAAGGTACACACTCTTAAGGTATTTAAAAAATAGTAGTATCAGCTGACTCAGTGATGCCTCCATTGACTTTTTAATCCTGTATATCCTTGGAAAGAGAGTTATCATCTGCTGTGATTGCACACTTCTGGTGATCTATGTTAAAATGGCTAGGGGCCTAACCCGTGGCTCACTTGGGAGAGTGCGGCGCTGGGAGTGCAGCGGCGCTGGGAGCACTGAGGCCGCAGGTTCGGATCCTATATAGGGATGGCCGGTGTGCTCACTGGCTGAGTGCGGTGCGAGCGACACCAAGCCAAGGGTTACGATCCCCTTACTGGTCACAAAATAAAATAAAAAATAAATAAAAAATAAAATGGCTAGAATTGGGAACTCAGAACTCATTAATTGAATTATGCCAGAATACCATGTTTTGCAAATAGAATCTACTCACATCTTCAAAACTGAATTTACTTACTTATATTAGCACATTTTGGGGTAGAGTTTTTTGGGTTTTTTTAATTGGTTATGAACATTCATGGGATACAAAGCTGATTGTTCCCCCTCATGCCCTAGATGTGAAAGCCATATCCATACTGAGTTTTTTTAATAAGAAAGTTTTAGTCAATAATCTTATAGTTGGTATTCAAATTATTTATCTTACATATAAGTTCTGGAATCTTTCTAGCCATGTTAAAATTAGTTTTTAATCAGTCAGATTTTCAGTAACATAAGATTCTACAACTAGACAATGCTACAAAACTAAATTAATTTTTTTTTTTTTTTTTTTTTAAAGATGACCGGTAAGGGGATCTTAACCCTTGACTTGGTGTTGTCAGCACCACGCTCACCCAGTGAGCAAACCGGCCATCCCTATATGGGATCCGAACCCGTGGCCTTGGTGTTATGAGCACTGCACTCTCCCGAGTGAGCCACAGGCCGGCCCTAAATTAATTTTTTAAAGGCGATCCTGGTCACGCTAAAAGATCAGAGGTCACAGAGCCAAAATTTCTAGTGGGGAAGAGAGATACTGTCAAGAGCGGATAGGATCGAGGTTGAGGACAATTTGGAGATTCTGAACAAGTCTCTTGGTGTTCAATAGACTTACTTATGTAGGCCAGTGAAGTTTTTTTGTTTTCATGAAAAATATGCCAAATTTTATTGGAAATATATTCAATCCATTTACTCTCTTCCTTCAAGACTCTAATAAAATAACTCTTGTTTAATAGTTTTTCTTGATATGTCTCTTCTCCAGAAAAGATTATTCCTCAGTTTTCAGAATTCCTGTAGTACTTTGTGTTCAATTAATTTTCTTCATTAATCTCATTATTGCATAATCATTTGTGTTCATGATAATTTCTTTGTTTTAAGTTGATTATTTTACTTTAAAGATAAGTAGTAGATTTTATAGCAGTTTTAGGTTTACAGAAAAAGGGAGTAGAAAGTACAGACAGTTAACATAGCTCCCTACACCCACCCACCCACACACAGACAGACAGACAGACAGACAGACAGACACACACACACACACACACACACACACACACGCACACGCAGTCTTTTATTAACGTCTTATATTTGTTACAGTTGTGAACCAGTATTGATACATTATTATCAACTAAATTTTACATTAGGGTTTCTTCTTTGTGTTGTACATTTCTATGGCTTTTGCCAAATGCAAGATGTCATGTTTTCACTATTACAATATCATACAGAATAGTTTCATTGCCCTACAATCCTCTGTGCTCCACCTATTCATACCTCCCTCTTCTCCTGAAACCCTGGCAACCACTGATCTTTTTTTCCCCCTTTACCCCAAACATTTATCATTTCTTTGTGTTGAGAAAGCCAGTGAAGTTTAAGTGCAGATATGTCATCGTCTATTTAGTTGACTATTCTAAAATTTTGCTGGAATTTAGTGATTTATTAATCGGTGGTTCCC